TATGGTTTCTGACAGTGCATGCCACCTAGGTGTCAGGAACCTTGTCACTTTCTTCTGGCACATGCGCCAGTGCTTGCTTCTGTTGTCACTTGAAAATGATTAGTTATTTCTCAGAATTAGGAACTTTGATTTTCTCACAGAGTTTATATGAACTCTGGTCTTAATGTTTATTTTCCACATGACTGACTTCCTTTTTCTTCTGAAAAAATACATTTTAATCCTTAAAGCAATACTTTCTTAATATAATCTGCCAGCCGATCTGTCTTTCCTTCCTTCCTTCATTAACATAGGTTAATTTCTCAACTGTAGTTAGCAATTCTCAACCTTGGGGTAAAAGCAATCTGCTTGTAGCAAATTACACACCATTGGTATTTTCCCTAAGAGACTACTATTCTGTACTTCCCAGCCAACTGTAAATACCTCTTTATTTGGCCTGTACCATCTGTTTTATCTTAGGTATGGTTTACTGTATTGGAGCTTTGTTCTTAGGACTTTGGGGATTTTGAAGACAGTTGGTTAAATTTTTATCTTGGTATTGACTAAAATTGAAGAACACTATATGACAGTTGTGTTGAGGTTGATAGCTTTTTAACCTTAAATAATTGTGTTTCAGCTGTTTTTGACAAATATATCAATTCAAATGCTATTTACTGTGTGTGTTAGGAAGTACTACTTCAAACAAGCAGCATGATCAAATAGTTTTCTTAACAAAACACCCACCTAAATTTATATAGTATCAGTCTTGAATAGCAGTGTAAAAGCTCTTAAAATTAAAAATTTGCAAAACCAGAACCCTTGTCTTTATCTGTATGGATCAAGAAATTGACCTTTTTTGGTTTGGTTTTAATTTCACCATTAAAAATGAGGAAAAGATATGAGTGTTGGTATTTCTGGGACATTTAACTCTACATGTAGCAGCATTCTAGCCACATTAATATTGTTCTCTCTCTCTCGGATTCTTTCCATCAGTGTTCAAACATGCTATAATACCTTATATTTTAAAAACCAAAACCCCCCTCCCACTTCTACTATTAACCATCCCATCCTCTACTCACTCCTCTGTGTAGCATCATCTTTGGGAGAGTTGTCTGGCGTCACTGATTTCACTTCCTCTTTTCCTGCTTTCGGACCTGACAGCAGCAGGGCTCTGGTTGCCTCTGGACCACTACTTCTGCCCCTGTCCAGTCACATTCTAGTTGCTCGGTACTTGGTCAGTTCTTGGTCTCATCTTGCTGACCCCTCATCTGAAGATGCTTTCTTTACTCGGCTGCTGGATCCTTGGAATCTGCGTGTTCTTGAAATGTAAGTTTCAAGAATATAGGTTCCCCAGAACTCAGCCTTTGATACTCTGTGCCCTCTCCACTACTCTCTTAACTGACGTTTACTCCCATGTGTGTTGATGTCCAAGTTTCAGTGTAATGGCTGCACTGAAGTTGATTTAACCCATCTCCTATTGATAGACTTTTGAGTTATTTTGGCTTTGTGTTTTAAAAATTATAATAATGCACAAATACTCTCTTGCACAAATCTCTTTGTATCCTTGTGTGAGCATTTCTATAAGTAATCTTAGAAGTGGTAAAACAGGATTTAATGGTACAGAGCTTTTAAATCCAAATGTATATTAGTGAATGTCCCTCTTTAAGGTGTACTGATTTATACTCCTACCAACTGTATGGAAGTTCCCATTTATCCATACTCTGGCCAATACTAAGTGATTTCAGGTTTGGGGGTTTATTTGTTTCTACCTTTCTTGAATGATTTTAACTGACTTTGCAATTAAAAGTTTAAATGCAAAACTACTAAATATAAAGCAGTCCGTTTATTATTTTAAGGTCCCAAATACCATAAGTATTTTACCAGCAAGGTCTAAATAGATTATGATACTATGTCATTATTGTAGAGTCAAATATGGTTCCTTATGTAAAAGTGTGAATTTTTACATGAAGGTGCAGAACTGACTTCATGACACATTTTTTCCCCTTTCATTTTACGTGTCAGATTAGATTGCTGGCTACCATAAATTTAAATTGCCTAATCAATAAACTGCATTATGCCAGAGCAGTGATTACCATTGTTTTTAGAATGGGTACTGTTTTTGTGGTGGTTTTTAAAATGATAGCTTTGAAATTTTTCCAGAATTTTTCTCCATGGAAAGAAAACTAACTGAAATTAACACTATTGTGGGGAGTATCTACTTGAGATAATTGACTTGAAACTAGCAAGACCCAGTCAGTAACTCTTGGAACACTTTTTAAAACAGGCTTAAAGGTAATAATAGCCTTTTCTCTATTCTGATTTTGCTTGACTAAGATAGCTTTGAGAGATAGTAGTAGCTTACTGATAAACACATTATTTTGGCCAAGATTGAGTCTCACTAAATTGAGGAAGTAGGTGTACCCTGGGGGGTCTTCCTGCTTAAATTAGTGCAATCAACAGCAGATTAAAAACTTGTTGCCAAAAACCCCCGAAGTTTTTTCTAGTTTCTTTGTGCCTGTAAAGTTCCATCACAGAAAAGGAGCTCTTTCTTATTTTTGAACCACTTAGAAAGTGTAAGTTTTGGCAGACTACAATTTTTATGACAAAACTATTTGTTTTTAACACAAAAATCTGTATTATCATAGAAAAAAAATCAAATATTCTTTTAAACCATTGTATGTTGTTTAATTTGAAATGTCAGGTTTACAAACTGCAGGTTTCCAGATACTGTCTTTCTAAAGCAAATTTGAATGTAGCAGCAGTGCACAGCAGTTCCTTTTTCAAATTCTGTAGTCGAAATGACTCTTCTGAGATTGTTGCTAAAGGGTACTTTGCTTATACATCGCATTAAAGATTATTTCTTAAAAACACAGACAGATTGAAGGTGAAGAAGTTATTTGCCTCTGGCCAGTGATTGCCAGGAGGATAAATGACATGACCTGGTAGTAAACCATTTAAAATTCTTTTGCCTTTCATAACTCACTGAAAAGTTTTCAAAATATTATTTTACTATGTATTCTTCCTTACAGTGGAAAGAAAGAACACACATGTTCTAGCCTTTCATAGCAGGAGTGCCTTAATAATCATTAGCAGTTGCCCTCTCTCAAACTCTTATTACCTAAGTGGCAGGCATCATCATGAGTCCTTTACTTGTATTTCAGTTCATCTTTGTAACTATGCAGCAAGGACTATTACCCCTATTTGTAGATAAAGTTGTTATCTAGAACAGAGATTAAATAATTTGCTCAAAGTGCACAGTTAATAAGTGGTAGGGTTTGAATCAGGTGTTCTGACTCCAGAACCCATACACTAGGCTCTGCTGCCTAAATTCTCCGTGTAAAAACCACCAGTGGAGGGACTACATGTACTCTGAGAGTTCTAGGCTTAGCCCTGGCCCCTGGTCCTCTCATACACCTTACTCGCCATTCTGACATACTCTTGGCTTCAGGTGTACCTGTAAACTGGATAACGTTCTCTTTGGCTACAATTGAAAAGATGTCTGAAGACATCTTCACTTGCTTTGGTGTTTTTTTATAGCCACCCTGAATGTAGCAGGGTGTACCAAAGCTTGACTTGTCTCCTGATTCATTTCACCCCTACCCAGTAGCGTACTCCTCCTCTAGTGCTCTCAGTATGCACAGCCATCTACCCACTTCCCAAAGCCTCATACCTGGGAGCCTCCCGTGACTCCTCTCACCTCTCATCTGTACATCTAGTCTGTTACTAAATAGGTACCTTCCCACCTGGTGAGTACATCTAGTTCTTTCATCCCACTGTCCACTTCTTGCTACCATTACCTCTCAGTTAGACTCCTGTCTCAGCCTTTAAACTGGGCACCTTGTATCCAGCCATCTTTCCTCCATTCCATTGTCTACCCTCTTAAAAAAAGGTGAGCATGAGATGCCACACTTACTTAAAACTCTTCAGTGAGTTTCCATTGTTCTCAGGACAAAGTCCAAACTCCCTAATAAGATTTGTCAGGACCTCCCTAGTGTGGCTTCTCTGTGCTTCTTTAGCTTCTCTTCTTGTCCACTTGGGCACACCTCTTCATGGTGTGATGAGCTTTTTATTTTCTCTGATGTGCCCTGCTCTTTCATTTGGTTCTTAACACACACTGTTCCCTCTGTCTACACAGTACTTCTCTCCACCTGACCCTGCAGCATTTCAACCACCCCTGACTCCAATATGGCCATGAGGTTCAGTGTACACTTCAGTTCCTGACAGGGGAGGGTTTCTTTCCATAACATTGATCACATTTTGTGATCACATTTTTGACTGCTGCTACATTCAAATTTGCTTTAGAAAGTATTGCTTTGTAATACTTAACTAAGTAAGCATTAAGTTCTGTATAGCAGAAACCTCCACTCTGCCTCATTTCCAGCACCTGGCAAAATTCCCAGCACCTAGGAGATACTCAGAAAGAACTTGTAAACAAATCAGAGATACAGTCTCTACCTTTAACAAGCTCAAAGTCTAGTGAGAGCGTGAGGATGGTAAAGAAAGTACATTAGTGCATATGGTAAGTACTCTGATAAAATGAGTTCTTTTTATAGCAATACTGGCAGTAAGTAGGCTTATTGCCAGTGGGTATGCAAGCATGTGCCTGCGCAGTAGGCTAAGTGTTACCTCATCACACAGATACAGGGGTTATCAAGTGAGGATCCTGGCCATGGAACTTCCATTTTTCCCTACAAGCATTCAGGCAGTAAAAAGGAGAGTTGTGCTGAGCATTGGAATTGATTCAATTGCACTTGCCTTATTTTTTGCTCACCTGTTGGGCAGGGATTTCACAGTAGCCTTTTAACATTCCAGGGTTTTTATATCAAGACCTTCAGAAATTCTGAACTAGATTGGGTAGTCAGCTCTCAGGTTGTCCCTAAACAAAATAGGTGCTGGCTCTTTTCTGTTCCTCATTACAAATCATACATCTTCATTTTCAAATTCCAAGAGTTGAAATTGAAAGCATTAAATCCATAAATACCATAGGCACTGTTTGTGTTTAGATTTTTTTCTTATCTTTCCAGCTTTGACAGCTATTGAAGGCACAGCTCATGGTGAGCCCTGCCGCTTCCCTTTTCTGTTCCTGGATAAGGAATATGATGAATGCACCTCAGATGGAAGGGAAGATGGCAGACTGTGGTGTGCTACAACCTATGACTACAAAGCAGATGAAAAGTGGGGCTTTTGTGAAAGTAAGTGTTGCTCAGTAGGAAGTATGTCCACATTGCTTTATATCTCAGACATTTTTGAGGCCTTTTCCACCTTGGTCAGAGACGGCATTGATGATGTGGGTATAGCCTTAAAGAAAGGACTTAAGAGCAGGAGGGATGCACAGTGTACTGATTTCCAGGCTGTCACTTGGGGCAGCCTGTCACACTCATGTCTTATTTAGGGATGGTTTTGTGTTGGCATGCACAGGTTGTTCTACAAACCCTCAGGCAGGCTGCTAAATGAATTAATGTAAAACATTTTTTGGCAATTAAGGGAAAGACATTATGGTGAAGGCTAATAGTGGTTAGAAGAAAAATAGATAATACCTTTTTAAAATACTTTGAGCAAAATGTTCTGTCCCAGGGTAACATTTGACAGATACAGTATATTAATATCCCAAGTATTAATGTCAGTATAGAGAGGCTGACCTTCAGCCTAAGCTATGTTTACAGGAAAAACTTTCTAAATATAGAAGAATAACAGAAAACCTTGAACATACCTTTGTTGATTCCAAATAACTCTCAGAATAATGGCTCTGATAGAATATTTAGGCATTCCTTGATGATAACATCAGACATAGTCCATGTTTGGATGTAGGCCAGTATGATTAGGTACTCCAGTTTGATACATCAGATTTTGTTATGTTACAAGAAAAACTTATATTTGTTTAAAAATTGGTTCTAATGAAATACTCTCTAATTTCTCTTCATGAGTTCTAGATTTGTTAGAATGCTATATTACAGTAGCAAAATAATTTCAAGAAATCTAATAATTCTGTGATGTTCAGTGTTGTATCAGTGCATAAGAAAGAAACTTGAACATTAAATCAGAATCTGTATTTAATAAAAATCAAAAATCAATTTTTTTACCAACTTTTTGTTATGTAGCTTATCAAATACTTTCTCCTTATGAAGATATACAGCATTTTAGGTGAGATTAAGTGTCCTTTGACTGTAACAGCACTTTTCTGACTATTTTATTGTTTTTCTGTCCTTATTTTGGCTGACTTTGGAATATAATTATAAGCTACTACTGAAATTTTAGTTGAATTATATGAAAAGTTTTAGAATTACTAGCAGAAAAGTACCTTCCATTTCAGTGCGTTTTATTGTCTTTGTATTTGGTTTTGTTTTCCTGTCTTATCCTTACCAGATAAAGACCACACTTAAAGCAATGTGTCTTTACAGTCCTGTTTGGAAATAGTGAAAGATCATTGTGTTTGTATGACTGCTCAAAAGGAAGGGTTAATACTGATGTTTGATAAATAATTGATGTAGAATTAAAATCCATTTAAGTGCATCTGACATGTTGTTTTTAGCTGAAGAAGAGGCTGCTAGAAGACGACAAATGCAGGAAGCAGAAATGATGTACCAGACTGGGATGAAAATCCTCAATGGAAGCAATAAGAAAAGCCAAAAAAGAGAGTAGGTAGCCCTGCCCAGTCCATTCCTCTGCTAAGATAAGCCATTATTGAGATAAATAGTCAACTCTTTTTTTTTTAAGTGTACTGCAAAAGACAGAAGATTTCTTAAGTTGCATTTTAAGAAAATTTAATATGGTATATGGATATTAAGGAAATTCTTTTATCATATTTTAGCTTGCTGGGATAAAAAGATTATAAATACTGATCACAAGAATGAACAGTGAGCAAAATGGAAATAATGGACTAAAGTTATCTAAGAGCCAAGAATACAGATAGTCTTCAGAATTCAAAATGACAAAATGAAAGGAATTATTGGTGTTTTCTTTGTTTATCATTTTGTTTTATACTTTTCTTGTAGCCGAAGATTAAAATTTAGGAATTTGCACTTGGAAAAAAAGTATAAAACAAGTGATTGTGTTCTAACATCTTGTGTCCCTCTAATTTCAGCTGACTTATGTTACAGTCTGTGCAAAGATTGTAAAAGAAAATTGCAATGATTATCATTGGATTATATGCTGGATACCTTATTATTACAGTTCTCTCATTGCAAATCTAGTTAACCCCTTAACTAGGAATATCAGAATTAGATTATTCCAAGATATTGGCATAACAGAGAGAACTGGTACCTTATTTAAAAACAAAAGTAACTAGAATGTTTTCTACACATATAAGTAACACAACTTAGTGGAAATAAAGTATTAGAGGGATTCCATAGAATAAGGCAATTATTTATGTTTTTCGTGGATCTTGAAAAAGCTTTTAATGGTACTTCCAAAATATTGTTGATTTGTTTTTTAATTGCTTGTTTTAAGAGCATACCGGTATCTTCAAAAGGCAGCAGGCATGAACCATACCAAGGCCCTGGAGAGAGTGTCATACGCTCTTCTGTTTGGTGATTACCTGACACAGAATATACAAGCAGCTAGAGAGATGTCTGAGAAACTGACTGAGGAAGGCTCTCCGAAGGGACAAACTGTGAGTGTACTTTGAATGGAGAATATCTCCACATACACCATTTGTTTATTTCCACAGCACTTTACTGTCTATGTCCTGCCTTCTTTTAGCAAATAAGACTGGAAAGTAAAATACCTTTTTTAAATACCAAGTTTAAATACCTTTAAATATCAAGTTAAACTTTATCAAGTTAAAGTTTAAAGGAAAGTAAAATACCTTTAAATATCAAGTTTAAATTTGGCAGATCATTTTACCAGTCTCCTCAGTCTTTCTCGTTAGTCTGAGAACATTTATGGTCACTGAACACATTTTTGCAGTTGCATTTTGCCCCAAATCATATTTGTAATTTTCCAAATTACATCTGTAGAGAATAAAACATGAGGGGTAATTGTTTTTTGTATCTGAGATTACTCACCATTGCATTTTTTCCAAGGTTCGGATGCTCCAGCTTCATGTTGAGCTTGGTGGGTTTGTATTTTAATATTTTATTAATATTTAACAGCAGTACATGCCAATTATAGGAAACAAGAAATACAAATTTAAAGAACTAAGAAAGTAAACATCATATATGTATCACCCAGACATGAGCATCAGTTATGTTAATACATGCATACCCTTCTAGACCTTTCTCTGTGTGTATACATACATGTGAATTCTTTGTATACAAGATAAATACCATATGATTTCACTTACTTGTGGAGTATGAAAACAAAGCAAAACAAAAGGAACGAAATAGCAGTAGACTCATAGACACCGAGAAGGGACTAGTGGTTAAGGGGGAGGGGTTGGGGTGAGGAGGGGGAAGGAAGGAGATAAAGAGGCACAATAATTCACAATGTATGTTGGTCACAGCAACAGAAGTACAGCATGGAGAATACAGTTAATGATTCTATAACATCTTACTATGTTGATAGTAACTGTGCTAGAAGGGGTGAGGATTTAATAATATGGTTAACTGATGAATCACTGTGTTGTATATTTGAAACAAATATAAGATTGTATATCAACAATACTTCAATAAAAAAATAAAATTAAAAATGTAAGATCTGTCTGCAGCTCCATAACTTGCTCTTTTCAATCAATGGCCTTCACCTTTACAGTCCAGTAGATTTTTATATCTTATATCCATAAAATATTCATATGGTGTTTAACCAAAACATTTTCTTTATACCTGTTTTGTTCAAAGCAGAATCCAGTCCAGAAGTACACCTGGTATTTTGTTGTGATTTCTAGCACCTTTCTTCTCTGTGTTAGAGGTAGGGCCAGTGTTCCTACAGAATGTCCTGCCTCAGTTTGTCTACTTGCTCTTCAGAGTGCCCTTTAGTTTGTTTCTTCATCATCTATAGTTCCTAAAGCTGGATGTTCCCTTCAACAGCTAAAAGCTAATGAACTCAAGTGAAATATTTTTGGCTGGTGTGCATTATAGGGAATGGTCTGTATTCCATATTGTATCACACCAGTTAATACATAATATCTGCTTGATATTCCCCATTAGTAATGGTAAGACTAACACCATTAGGGGTCACCACATTTATTTAAAATTCCTTCAATAATTCAGGTTTATTGAAGATGTGGGATTTGCTTAAAGATTAAACAAATCTGGTCACAGAGGAAGTTTGTTTTCAGACTGTGTAAACTATAGCAGGAATTATGTCCATTGTGTTCTAGTACTGAATTCCTAACTAGGCTGCAACTCCTACATAGTCTCAATTCTAGTTTATAAAAAGGATATATCTTAATTGCTACCTTTCAAAGCTTTTTTCCCTTAGTGTAAGTCAATTTTTATAAAATTCATACATATATTCTTTATCGGCAGACACATTTGCCTCTGAAGAGTTTTATTTATAAAGCATCTTTTCCCTCTAATACCTTACAATACCACAGCACTTTATGCATTGCAAAGCATTCCCTCTGTGGTAATTAACTCTAGCTGATGAGGTAGACAAAGCCCCCAAATCACAGTGGCTTAACACTACAGGGAGTTATTTCTTTTCATGCCAAGGTTCTCCTGCCTGCATTTCTTCCACGTGGTGACTCAGGACCAAGGACTGTTTCTGTCATGTAGCTACAGCATTTGAAATACGGGGCTTCCAAGTCATCAGGAAAGGAGAAGGGAAGGCTAGAGCAATCTCTTGGGAGTTTTTAAGGACCAGACCTAAAAATGGCTTCCATCCCTTCTGGCTACATCCCATGATCATGGCCCTACCTGAGTACAAGGGAGACTGGGAATGTAGAAGAGCTCATGGATTTTAATAACTACTGGCACTTGCCATACCTGCCTTCATAACTTTATACTTTCATGTCATCAAGGATGACCCTTAGAGACAGAGGGCATACCCTTAC